GGGCTGGGACAGGTGAGGGGCTGTGCCAAGCTGAGTCAGAGCAACCACTGACATGTGTGCAATCTATGGCTGGGAACAGGCCCGGTGGGGAGCTAAGGGGACATCCTAGCTGAGTTGAAATTCCCACCGAGGAATGCGGGGCTAGAATGGGGGCTGTGTTCTGATCAGGATATTGCTGAAGTCTCCCTTGGCTCAAGCGTGGGCTGGAACTGGGTGTACCAAGCCAGGCTATTCCAATACCATCTGGTGCACTGGAGGACCAGGGTAGATGTGGGACAGATCAAGCTAAGTCTTAGCCCTTACTGAGCCATGTGTGAGCTGTGTGTGGGTATGGACGAGCCTTGGCTGGGCTGAAACATCCAACAGTAAGAACCAGCTTGGGTCGAAGGCCAGTCAGGAAAAGCCACTGTTCCTGTTATGACAGAAGGTGGACTGAGTAGGGCTGGCTCATGGACCCCCTGGTATGCGTGAAATCTAGCATTAGAGAGGCAGGGGCAATGTGGAGGGCTCCCCTGCTGGACAGCCACTCCCACTGGAGAGTGTGAGCTGAGATGGGGGGCAGACCAGGCCAGGCAGGGCTACAACACCTGTGGACCTCATGTGAACTAGATCAGGGAAAAGCCAGCTTGGATTGGCAAAAATTAGAATGGGTAAGGGTTGGTTGGGCTTTACTGCTGCATCAGCTGGCAGAAGCTGGCACTAAGGGGCTGATTCTGTCAAGTTAAATTCCAGAACCACCTGGAAGGTGCATAATCCAGGAGTGGGAGTTTCCTAGAAAGGAAATAGTGGGCTCCTCCCTTTTGGGTTACTGCTCCCACTGGAGGGCACAAAAACCAGAACAGGGGCAGGGGTGGCTAGACAGAAAGGCAACCAACAGCATGTGTTTAGGCTGGATAGTGGAGCTGGTTAGGTTGAACTAGGCTTCAATGCTCATAGACATGTATGAGAGCTGAATCTGATATGGGACAGACTGGACTAGTCTGCTGCACATACTGGCAAGCATGGGAACTAGGGTAGGGGGCAGGCCTTGTGGGGGTTATTGTTGGTCGCTCTGACTGGGCTGCAGCTCCCAGTGGTTTATATGAGGGCAAGTGTGTGCTGGGCAGAATCAGGCTGGACTGCAACACCCATTGGATCCAGTGGAAGACAGGGCTGGAAACAGAACTGACCCAGCAATTGCAACCACCAGCTGATTGGGGCGATGGACTGTACTGGGCCCTGTCCTTGCAAGTACAAACAAGAATCTGGTCTGGGAACACCTCAGACAAAGTTTCTTTTGGGATCTTCCCAATTGAACTGCCGGACTTAGACCCATGGTCTGTCATGGAGACCAAGTTTTAGAGCCAAGCCTCCTCAGATGCTCAGATGGAGCAGTGGCGAGCATAACCAGCTGCACGTGGAGGATATGGCAGTCTATTGGAACCTGCAGAGGACACCTGGTACCACAACAGAGGACAGAACAAATCAATCAACTACCCCAGCCATATGGCAGTGAAAAACTGGGCAAACGGAGACTCTAAGGTGGAATATGTCAATCAGTGGATTCTGCAGCAACTTCATCATGCTTGGAGTGGTGAGATTGGCAGCAATTCAGAACTGTTGAACTATCAAAAGATAGTTCTTGAGCAAGATTCTCGGAGCATGCCCCACATCAGGGACCTGGGATGGGTGGGAGACTGGGTGGGGCTTCTCCCTTTATCTCCCCCTTTACCCCAGATACAGGAAAAAAAAATGTGGAAATAATAGTCTCACCCACTTTCCTGTAGCCCTTGAACCTTTTTGCTCTAATTAACTATGTAAAGATTGTCAAAAATAAAGGAAAAAAAATTGGAAAAAAGTATAATAACCAGGGAAAAAAAGATTTAATAAAATAATCTATGATTCTTTATAAATTCCTTTCATTTGTAAGTTTTATTTTTAATTCTGTATTCTTGATATTTTAAATACTATTCGTTTAGCTTTAGTGAAAATCAATTTTGGGTATAAGTAAACCTACCTGTCACTGTGTAAGCGCATGTGCTGCCAACTGTGGAGTTCCTGGCTTCAACTGGGTGACTGCAGGTTTGAATGAGTAATGGCTTGCTGAAAATGTTTTCTTTGAAGTAAAATGGTAATAATGTTTTTTTTTAGGATTGTTTTTGTATTCTTTTAGCCATGAAGTAAAAATAAAACAATTATGCTATGCAAAAGCTTGTAATGATTTCTGTATAAATAAGAAGGCAGCTTTTCTGAGTTGTCTGTTATGAGCTCATCATAATGGTTTACATCTCTTCTTGCTGATCCTTGCATCGTTTGCAAGCTCTGCAGTCAGCGGAGCTGATCTCCGGCAAACTGGAATTCAAACAGAGTTGGAGCTTGCAGCAAGCATCGATATGGGACTCTAGGTAGGGAATTTTGAAGTTATCATTTGTATGTCCATAACTCAAGTGCAGATAAAAGAGCCCCAAATAAAGGAATTGTGGACTGATACCAATAGGTATTAAGCATCAATTTTTTTAAAGATTTATTCATTTTTATTGCAAAGTCAGATTACAGAGAGGAGGAGAGATAGAGGGCAGGTCTCCCACGCAGGTACAGAGTCCCAAGGCTTTGGGCTGTCCTCGACTGCTTCCCCAGGCCACAAGCAGGAACCTGGATGGGAAGTGAGGCTGCCAGGATAGAACCGGTGCCCATATGGGATCCCAGGCGTGCTTAAGGCAAGGGCTTTAGCCGCTAGGTCAGTACACCGGCCCAAGCATCAGTTCTTTCAAAAGAGGCTATGTGGAAGAAAACCATTTTTTTCCTCCAAAGATTTATGTCTATTTGTAGGACAGTTTGGGGCCCGGTGTTATAGCCTCCCCTCTCCTGAACATCGTGTTCTCCATCTAGCTCCACGTTAGCCAGGATCACCCACGACTTCCCAGCATCGCTGCATCAGGGTCACCTGGAAGGCTTACTCATTGACTGCTAGGAAAAAAACAAAACCCTATCAGCAAGGCTGTTGGGATCACTCCCAGATTTCCTTAATTCACCTCATCTGAAGTGCGGCTTGGCCAGTCACAGTTAAAAAATAGATTTACTTATTTGAAAGCAGGGTAGAGGGACAGAGGGAAGATCTATCTGCTGGTTCTCTGTCTTGATGGCTACACCAGTCCACTGGGCCAGGCCAAGGCCAAGAGCTTCAGTACAGGGTCCCCCATGTGAGTGCAGGGGCTAAAGTACTTGAGCCAGGCGCATTAGCAGGGTGCTGGATTGGAAGTGGATGCGTGCTGGTGCCCGTTTGGGAAGCAGCCTTACCCACAATGGTGGTCTCTAGCTCACATGTCTATGAAGCACATTTGCTAGGGCTACTTTTACAAGGAACCACAAACTGGACAGCTTAACAGACACCTGTCTTCCAGTTGTAGCGCCCTCAGCTTTCCGAACCACAGGCACAAAACGGCCCATTTCCAAATAAAGGTGCATTCTGAGGTACTTCCTGTCCAGGCATGGGAGACAGTTCACTACCCGGGGATGGGAACACGGCTGATTTGACAACACTGAGCACACCATTCTGTGAGGCTTTCCAGGGTTTCTTCACCCTCCCCACTCTCCATGTCACGGGGTGCCGCCATTGACCGCACGCACTGCTTGTCAGGTTAACTGACAGCGCGCAGGGCGCAGAAGCGGAGTTCTCGCACCCCGCCCTCCCTACTTCGTCTCTTACCATGCAAGTTAAGTGAGGGTACGAAAAGTGCACCCTGCCCCTCCTGCCTGCTGCACCATTCACTACTGACAGAGAAGAAATTACTCTGGAGGCCCAGCACAGCTGGCCCTTCCTGCCTCCTGTTGGGCTAGGTAAGGTTAGTTAACTATCCGTTCCTGCCTGAAACCTTGTTTCTACTGCATGGCTCTCAATCTGATTGGAGATGAGAGCTTAAAACCCCATGACTTTGGTGGCCCGGCCAGGGGCTTCTGGAATGTAATGGGATAACAGACTCCTTCTAACATCCTACACTTGGGTCCAATGAGATCTCCCTTGCACGCCACAACATTTTGGAGGCTCCATTTCCCTCAAGTTCCTAACGGGGCACGGAAGCCCATGAAGCTTCGCCCTCATCCTTAGGACTCTCATGGTGCTGCTGCGTGACACGCCCTCACCTCTGGGTTCTTCTGGATGTTTCTATGGCAGAGAACATTCTCAGGCCAATGCTCCGCACAACTTTCCGCAGGGCCGGCGCTCATTCAGGCTGTGTGGACGGAACGCACGGGGACACTCATTTCCAGGCCTTTTCTCTCTTATTTTCATTTTCCTCGAAAGCCAGGGAGACTGGGTGTCCAGCCCAGGTGGGGTTCAGGTGACACCAACAGCCAGGAGCTGGGTCCACATCCCCCGCGGGCGCAACAAGGACCTGGCACCTGCGGTATCATCGCTGCGACAGCGTCCCGTCCTCTTCTTCCGTTTTTAAATGAAAAATTTTCCATTTTTAAAATTATATTTTTGACAATCTTTACATAGTTAATTAGAGCAAAAAGGTTCAAGGGCTACAGGAAAGTGGGTGAGACTATTATTTCCATATTGTTTCCTTCATGTATCTGAGGTAAAGGGGGTTATTAAGGGAGAAGCCCCACCCAGTCTCCCACCGACGTTTACATTAATTTTATTTTAAAAACATGAGATACTGATCACAAAGCTGTTTCTAGCACAACCGGCCCAAGCCTGGTTTCTGCTTTTCCCCCTGGTGGTGACCCGACCAAACGCCACCGGAAAGCAGATGAGCCATAGAAGGTATTTCCGGGCCTCGGAAGCGGTCGCGCAACCTAATTTACATACCCACAATACATTGCGCACAGACCGTTTTTTACGTTAACATGGACAGAGTATTCCTTTCTTTCTGCTTTTTCTGTTACTAACAAAAGTGATATTTCTTTGTTAGAATTGCCTGAGAGGGATACACTCACCAATTCTGCTACTTAAGTAGTTACCACTGCCGTGCTAGGTGTTGTAGATACTCAAGTTCTGTGTAGGTAGGGAAATTGGCATACTCTGGTTTCTCTTCAGATCGTATAAATCTTTCGCCTTTTACTAAAGATTTCCGTGGAGAGGAACAATTCTGAGTCTTTAACCAATTTTTTGAGGCCTTACCTTCTGGTGAGGCTAGTAATGCTGTACCGTAAAAAAAGACTATAGGGAAGTTCCATAGGGTAGAATAAACCTTGTGTTTAGCATTAAGTATGCAGTTTCCTGTGTTGTTCAGCAGGACAACTGATTTGTTGGACTCAAAAGGTTTTTTTGCATCCAGTTTTCCCATGAGCTTCCAGTAGTGTCCTTTTACAGTAATTGGTGTTGTGCTTATTCTTTTAGGTGCTGTTGTTATGGATTTCTTGTGTCTGCTTGATGTAAGTAACTGTGCATTTCATGGAATGACATGAATGTGTTCCCACCATTCTGACTTCTTGCCCCTGTTATGTTAGCTTGGGACCCCCCCTTCCCTGTTCCCGTCCATTACAGGTCATGAATCATGCCAGCGAAGTTCTTATGTCAGACAACATATTCATAGCTTTTAGGGATTGGGGTGAGGGCATATTTGGAGCTTAGTGTTTAGTCACAGCATGAAGGTTGCAATTGGCATTGTGGTGCAGTAGGCTTAGCTGCTGTGTGGGACACGCATTAACCCAATGCCAGTTGCAGTATGGAGACGCCTGCTGCAACTGGAGCGGGGAAACTAGAGTACCAGCCTCTGGCTTAGCTTGCCCAACCTGGCCACTTGGGGCCATCTGGGGAGTGAACTGGAGGATGGAAAATCTGTCTCTGTGTTTTGATATTCTGCTTATCAAATAAAGAAATCTTTTTTAAAAAGTGGTATAGTTTTGGAAAGTAAAGCAGTTGATAGAAATATCCTGTCTCTCAGATAAATGAAAGTGAACCCTTAATTTAAAAAAAGTGACGTCGTTATGTGGAATATCCTTATTCCTTGTCAAAGAGTTGAAGCATTTGGTTTATGATTTCTGAAACTTTCTTTAAAAAAATTTTTTTTAAAAAAGATTTATTTTCACCACAAAGTCAGATATACAGAGAGGAGGAGAGACAGAGAGGAAGATCTTCTGGCCGGTTCACTCCTCAAGTGAGCCCAACGGCCCGTGCTGTGACGATCTGAAGCCAGGAGTCAGGAATGTCCTCCAGGTCTCCCACACGGGTGCAGGATTCCAAGGCTTTGGGTTGTCCTTGACTGCTTTCCCAGGCCACAAGCTGGATGGGAAGTGGAGCTGCCAGGATTAGAACTGGCACCTATATGGATCCCGGGCATTCAAGGCAAGGTCATTAGCCACTGGACCACGGTGCCGGGCCCAATTTCTGAAACTTTCAAACAACCACACAGAAGACATGTGAGTCAAAGGATGTATTTGGGGGTACAGATACTTAACTGTATTGTTCGAACTTTCTGTAACTTTGAATTTTTACTAAGCCATGGTCACATCTCTTCTCTCCCACATTGCCTCTGTCACTTCTTCTGTTCCTTATCTTCCTCTTCCAAGTCAGGGCAGCTGGCCACGTGGTCCGAGCCCTCGGGGCCAAAGAGCAAGCTCGAGTTGCTCTTGGAGATGCTGCAGAGGCGCATGGCTGCAGGCAGAACCGGAGCGTGAGCGAGCGCTGCGCTCTGGGAGTGTGTATGTGGGTGTCTTCAGGTGTCTCAGCGCGCCCGCTTACCTTTGGGAACGTTGACCTTGTTGGACGCTAAGATGTCTGCCTGGACGTTGTCCATTTGCAGATACAAGTTCTCCGGGTTGCTCTGAGGACACGCCCAAAGGAAGTCCTGAGGGATGGTCTGTGGACAGGGAGGTGGGCAGGGCAGGGCAGGTGGCCAGGAACTTACGCTGAAGAGCTGGTAGAGGTCCTCCCCCATGGAGCGGCGCGCGAGCTCCTCCACCACCGGGAATGTCTGCACGAAGAACTGCGGGGTGCACGGGAGGGAAGGCGTGGGGCGTGGGGCGTGGGCCGTGGCCGCCCGGGCGCCGCGCCCCTCTCCCCGCACATCGCTGTCACCCGGCCAGGTGTGCACCTGCAGCGTGAGGCTTGCCAGCCGCTGGCTGTTGCTGTGGTCCATGTTGCCCATGGCCGTCATCAGGCTATGCACCACGTGCAGATGCAGGAGTTCCTCCGCAACCCTTAAGTCGCGGCGAGCCAGGACCCTGGGGCCAGGGATCCAGGGCTGGGGCGAAGTCCTGGGGCTCCCCTAGTCCGCCCGCCCGCCCGCCCGGCCACTCCCTCCGCCGCCGCAGTTGCTGCTTGCCTACCCTATGGTCTTGGCGGCCGCGGCCTGCTGCAGAAACATGGGCAGGTGAATGGTAAGCGGCAGCACCGAGGTGTCTGTGGGCGAGCGTGCGGCAATCATGAGCCCGGGGGTGGGAGTGGGGACCTCCTTTTCCGGCATGGCATCGCCTTACCCATGAGGATCTTGTGCTGCAGCTTGGAGGTCTCCTTGACCGACGGCGTCAGCAGTGCCACGAGGCCCTGGAGCAGAGGCAGGCGCACGTGGTCGTAATCCACCAGGTCCTTGATGAGCTCAATCGCTGAGGGAGGGTGGAGGGGAGCAGAGACGCTGCTGAGGCCTGGGGCTCCCCTCACACCCCCGCGATGCCCTGTCGCGTCGCTGTGCCCTGTGCCTCCACTCACCCTTCCTTGGCCCTGTTGCCAGCCTGGCACCCGGCACACACCTCAGCTTTGTGCTCGTGGGGAGCAAGGGGAGAGGAAAAGGGCTGGATGGTAGCCTGCTGATGGGCATCCGGGCTTCCCCGGAGTAGGGACGGATGGATATCTCCAGGGAGACTGGAAGGCGTGACCCACAGCAACCGTAGCTTCTCTCTTTTGCATCCCAGGATTTGGGGAAGGTTTTTATTCCCTTGCTTAGCTCATTTGCATCCCAGCAGTGCAGACACGTGGGAGTTATTTTGTTTTTTAAGATTTATTTTATTTTTATGGTAAAGTCAGATATACAGAGAGAGGGAGCGACAGAGGAAGATCTTCCCTCCAATCATGCACTTCCCAAGTGACTGCAGTGGCTGGTGCTGCACCTATATGAAGCTAGGAGCCAGGAACCTGTTCTGGGTCTCCCACATGGATGCAGGATCCCAAGGCTTTGGGCCGTCCTCAGCTGTTTTCCCAGGCCACAAGCAGGGAACTGGATGGGAAGCGGGACCACCAGGATTAGAACTGGTGCCCCATATGGGATCCCTGTGCGTTCAAGACGAGAACTTTAGCTGCTAGACCACTGCGCTGGGCCCACACGTGGGAATTATACCAGGAATGTCTGAACAATGAAGACTGACCACCTGCTTCCTTGCTGCTGAGTGAAACATCCAGTGAGAACACCGGGAGAGGCCCGTTTGCTGGGATGCACACAGGGGCCAGTGGGAGCAGGAGAGGCTGGGATGCGGGAACAAAAGTTTGACCCTGGCTCAGCTCTGCAGAGTTCTTAGGGAGAAGGCTGTTCTAAGATGGGCTGGAAGTTTTTTCTTTTTTCTTTCTTTCTTTTTTTTAAAGTTTTACTTGAGAAGTAAAGGGAAAGACATAGGCACAAATACAAGAGGAAGAGAAAGAGAGAGATCCACCTGCTGGTTCAGTCCACAAAGCCTGTGGTGCTAGGGCCAGGGCCCAGCCAGGAGCCACAGCACAATCGGATCTCCCACTGGGTGCTGGGTGACAAGAAGCCCTGACCACAGCCATCACCGTGGCCTCTGTGGGTCCGTGCTAGCTGGAAGCAGGAGTGAGAAGCTGCAGCTGGGAATCCAGCTGCTCCAACATGCCACCCCAAATGCCTGACCCTGTACAAGTTTGTTTTTGTGTTTTCAGCTTTGCCGAGGCAGGGCCAAACAGCACATCAAAGGCATGTATGTGACATAACAGACTATTGGAAGAGAGATCTCCTTTATTTATTAAGCTAGCCATCTTTAAAATATTTATCATATATATATTAAAGATTTATTTATTTTTATGGGAAAGGGAAAGGTGGATATACAGAGAGGAGGAAGGACAGAGAGGAAGATCTTCCATCTGATAGTTCACTCCCCAAACAGCCGCAACGGCTGGAGCTGAGACAACCCAAAGCCAGGAGCCTGGAGCCTCTTCCAGGTCTCCCACACGGGTGCAGGGTCCCAAAGCTTTGAGTCTTCCTTGACTGCTTTCCCAGGCCACAAGCAGGGAAAGGTGGGAAGCAGGGCTGGTAGGATTAGAACCCGTGACCATATGGGATCCTGGGCACGTTTAAGGCGAGGACTTTAATCGCTACGCTATTGCGCTGGGCCCTAAAATATTTATTATATTTTTGAAAGGCAGATTTTATAGAGAGAGAAGGAAAGAGAGAGTGAAGGTCCTCCACCTGCTGGTTCACGCTTCAAATGGCCACAACAGCCAGAGCTGGGCTGATCTGAAGCCAGGAGTCAGGGACTTCTTCTAGGTCACCCACGTGGGTCCCAAGGACTCGAACCATTACTGGCTGCTTTTCTAGACCATAAACAGGGAGCTAGATCAGGAGCTGCAATGGAGCAGCCAAGACGAACTGGTACTCACATGGGACGCTGCACAGCACACGGCACCAAGCCAGCCCCAGGAGAGCCTTTTAAAAGGGACAGGCCACTGACCTAACAGGATGTTGCTGAAGCTGCTCACATCCCACATGGAAGGGTCTGGGTTCAAGAGCATTTTCTTTAACTGTTGAGATGACATATGTGGGGCTGGTGCTGTGGCGCAGGGGGCTAAGCCTCTGTCTGTGGCACTGCCATCCATCTGGATGCCAGTCCAAGTTGCAATGGCTCCACGTCCCCTCCTGCTCTCTGTTTGTGGCTGGGAAAGCAATGGAAGGTGATCCAAGTCCTTGTGACGCTGCGCCCATGTGGGATACTTGGAAGAAGTTCCTGGTTCCTGGCTTCAGATCAACCCAGCTCCAGCTATTGTCACTATCTGGGGAGTGAACCTGCAGAAGTAAGATCTTTCTCACTTTGTTTCTTCTTCTCAATGTTAAATCTGCCTTTCCAATAAAAATATTTTTTAATAATAAATTCATTTTATTTTTATGATGTTTACATGGTTGAGAAGGATGTATGCCCATGTGGACCATCAATTAGGGTCGAGGAATGGGTGAAAGTGGATGAGACAAATGCCTCCAATCTTTTTTATTCCTGTATCTGGAAAGCGGGGAGAGGAGAGAGGCCACTCCCAGCAGCCCAATGGCATCAGTACCTAGGGATAGAAGACAGCCATCTGATGTCACCCCAGGGTCCCCGATGTGGAGCATGTTCTGAGGGTTCTGCTTAAATGGCTTCAAGAGTTCTGAGATGCTGTTGATTTCATTGCTTCAAGGGCCATTTACTGACAGTCCCCCTTAGAGTCTCGATTCATCCAGATACTCGCTATCAAAGCCTGACCAGGAGAGCTGTCCAATTTCTTCTGCCCTCCATGGCACTAGATTTCCTCAGTGAACTGGCTGACATGTCTCCCATGAGCATCTGGGCATGCCATCCACCACACAGGCCGCAGACACTGAGGAGGCCCAGTTCTGACACATGAACTTCATATTCAGACCACAGATCCTGCAATTTCTATCATGGTTGGAATTCTGAGTCCATTAGTCCAGTGGGTTCCCCAAAGAAACCTTGCCAGAGGTGACCCCAGATCTGATTCCTGTGTGTATTAGCCAGTTGCAGGGTTGGGCTCAGTCCATCACCCACATTCAGCTTCACACACACTGGTGGGCTGCTGGAGAAGGGAAGGTGTGGAGCTGGGATACTAGGACCCCATTCGGAATGTGTTGGTGGGGTGCAAGGGGGACATTCAGCATACAAATGGGGACCTGGGTCTGGAATGCAGAAGGGTCTCAGTTGAAGAAAGAAGAAAAGAAAAGAAAAGAAAAGAAAAGAAAAGAAAAGAAAAGAAAAGAAAAGAAAGAGAAGAAGGAAAGAAAGAAAGAAAGAAAGAAAGAAAGAAAGAAAAAGAGAGGAGGGAGGAAGGGAGGAAGGAAGGAAGGGGACCTGGTGCAATAGTCTAGTGGCTAAATTCTTGTGTTGCATGTACTGGAATCCCATATGGGTGCTGGTTCATGTCTTGGATGCTCCATTTCTCGTCCAGCTCCCTGTTTGTGGCCTGGGAAAGCAGTCAAGGACGGCCCAAAGCCTTGGGATCCTGCACCAGCATGGAAGACCTGGAAGAAGCTCCTGGCTTTGGATTGGCTCAGCTTTGGTTGTTGTGGCCACTTGGGGAAGTGAACCATTGAACAGAAGATCTTTCTGCCTCTCCTCCTCTGTATGTCTGACTTTCCAATAAAAATAAATCTGTGAAAGAAGGAAGAAACTGCCATCTAGTGGCCATACCGGAGAATTGCAGTCCACACAGCCATGCTTCCTTTTCAGCAGGCGCCTGTGGGAATGTCTGGCTCCAATTGTGTGTTTTGTTTTGTTTTGTTTTGTTTTTAAGATTTATTTATTTATTGGAAAGTCAGATATACAGAGAGGAGGAGAGACAGAGAGGAAGATCTTCCATCTGATGATTCACTCCCCAAGTGAGCGCAACGGCCGATGCTATGCCGATCCGAAGTCAGGAACCCGGAGCTTCTTCCTGGTCTCCCATGCGGGTGCAGGGTCCCAAGGCTTTGGGCTGTCCTCAACTGCCTTCCCAGGCCACAGGCAGGGAGCTGGATGGGAAGCAGGGCTGCCGGGATTAGAACTGGCATCCACATGAGATCTCAGCATGTGCAAGGCAAGGAGTTTAGCCACTAGGCCACTCTGCTGGGCCCTGAATGCTTCTATAATCTTAAGGAAGTAATGCATTTTTTTATAAACTGCAAATTTTGCAAAAGAGGACATTTGTAGGTGACACAGAGCTCCATGCCTGCTATCCAGCAAAGTCACACTAGACAGATGGCCTCTTGTTCAGCAGGCGAGGCTGCTGTGTTAGCTCGGGAGAGCGAGGCAAAGGCGCGGGTTCCAGGAGGCGAGAGTTGACATCTTGTGTGTGTAGACGATGTGTGCAGTGTGGGACGCCCACATCCTGCGTAGGAGTGCCAGTTCCAGTCCTGGCTACGCTCATCTTCCGACCCAGCTCCCTGCTAACGCGCCTGCGAGGCAATGGGAGACAGCCCGCTCATGTGGGAGACCCAAATGGAATTTCCTGGTTCCTTGCTTCAACCTGGCCTACCCCGGGGTGCTGGGGGCACTTGTGAAGTGAACCAGTGGTTGGAAGATCCACCTCTGGGTTTCAAATGAATATACAAATCTTCATAAAAAAGAAAAGCAAATGAGATCGAGTAGCATGTTTCGAACCTGTGAAGCTGCAAAGCTTGGCGAACATTTTTCGAGTTTTCCTGTAATATTCGTGATGGTGTCCGCCCTTAGGATTAGCCTGCATCCCCACACCAGTGAAAGCTAAGAGACTCCCATTCCTTTACCCCAGACGGACAGGGCTGTGTGGTGGTGGGGACACAGGCAGTGGGCACAGAAGCCCACCTGCCTGGCCTTCACCCACAGCTTTCCCACTGGCTTCAGGGCTTGGAGAGGTTATTAATGGTGCTGCATGGTGGCTT